CAGACAAGACAGGGGATCAGATAGAATAAGGATAGATTATATTGTAGATAAGATAGAAATAAGATAGACTAGATAAGGTATTTTGTCTCTGACTGGTGCTTCTTTTGACAAATTGCATCGGTGTGTTTTTGGGTATTTTGATAAGATGTCAACACTCGGGATGAGACCCAGGTTTCGGATTTAGTAAATGGGAACCCAGCTACAGCGCGTCCAGTGGAATTACATTTTGACAATATCCTGTACCTTACTACAGCAAAAAAAAAAAGCAAATTCCGCACAGCAAATGGCCTTTTTTAAAGTTGTCCAAACTCCGCCAGCGTGCACGTGAACGCGACCACGCCCATACGACTCCTGCACTGCAAACTCATTTCATCTTCATTTATCCACCTATCCATGGCTATGCTGGTCTCACTTCTCCAGCAGACAGAATTTAAGAGTGCTTGCTGGGCATAACTGTCCCCAGTTCAGACAACATTCAATTAAACTTCCCAGGCAGAGAGATAAAATATTGAATGCCCTTTAAGGATATTAAGAAAATTAAAATGCTTCTTTTATGTTGCCTTTTTCTCAGGAATGACAACTTATTCTTTTAAAAGCAAGGCTCCTTCTAACCTAAAGGCCCAGCCACTTGGCCCCATTGGCTCCTCCATCAAAGCGGAGGTGACGGAGTATTTTCCTGTGGAAGGCAGTGTGTAGCTTTCTTCCCCTAATTCAATTCACTAGCCTTAAATGTACATCAATAGGATAATTGGCCGTGTGTGTAAGGCTTTTTTGTGCAAGAATGCTGCGTACATGTCATCCTGTATGACGGTTAAGGATATGCTTTTGACAAGTGCCGTAGGCGTTATCCCCCTGCGTCCCTCCACTCAGACATGAGTCAAAAGCAGAAGCATTATCTAAATGCTATTGGTGTAATTTGGTGAGTGGTCGGGGCATGGGACGTCAGGAAATTAGGGCAGCAAAAGAATATTTATTTATTCCATTTATTTGAAGATTAATCAGTTAATTTTTTAATTTTCCAGCAGTCTAAAACCCAAAGATATTCTCATTTACATAAAACAGGAAAGAGCACAAAATCCTCTTATTTGAGAATATTGAAGCAGAAAAATTTTTGCTTCATAAACGTCTAAAACAAATAAATTATTATCAAAACATTATTTATTCTGCCGACCGACTATTCGATTAATTGACTTATCCTTTTAGCTTTAGTCATAAATTTGATGAGGGCATCTAACTTAAACAGATATTAAAATGTACTTGCAGCACAGCCTTCCAGCCTATTATAGTGTGATTTGGTTGTCTCCCACTTTTCCTCCTCATCTGTCCTCCCTCTCTTTTTTGTGCTGTCCCCTCTCATCCTTTTCGAATCCGTCTCCTGTCGGTGTTCCCTTTTTCGTTACCCTTCCCACACACATCCGTCTCCGATCCTCCTCCTTGCATTTTTCATCTTTCTAATTCATCCTGTAATCCATCTCCTCTCTCAGCTCCACACCTTCTCCCTGTGCCTCCTTCATCCCACCCCATAGTCCTCAGTGACACTTCTTTTCTTTTTTTTTGCCTTTATTCTAGGAAGGTTTGCTTGTTGTGAATGCTCAGTAGGTTGGATGTTGAGCGAAGGGAGTGTTGTTGCCTTTTCAATGCAGATTTTCCAGTCCTGGTCCGTGATGGAAATCCATCAAAATGGAAGCACGTCGCACAACTCTTCTACTCTTCTCATGTTTTATTCGCTTCACCAAACTTCCAAGGTTGTTTTCAGTGTCCCTTCTGACAGTTAGTCAGTACTTATATAAACCTTTGAGGGTAAAATATGGTATTTTGTAGAATGTTTTTTTCTTAAAAAATAATGTTGTTTTGTATATCTAGTAGTTAAAGCCAAGTCAAATGAACCAACCAATGAACTTTATATAAGGAAACTGGAAACAGCGTCAGACACCAACAGATAGACAATTGGTCTGCACCTCAGTGTGTGTGCGTTCCCCTTGCATTAAACTAACAAGCCATCCTTTCCCACTTCCTATGTCTTGTTGCCCTACTGCCACTGCCTCCTTGCCCTTTTTGATCCACTCACCCAGTGAGATCTTCTCCCCAGAGTCAGCTGGTAGCACAAAGATGAGTAGGGTCATCGAAGACAGCAGCACACAGGGGATGAGCAGGTTCAGGGCATAGTAGAGTGTCCGTCGACGTATTGTCACAACAAATGTCACATCCGGATAAGGCTCCTTACAGCAATCATAGAAGGCCTCGTTTCTGGTGCCGGGAACCCCTGGAAGAATAAGTACAGCTAGATATTGGCTCTGCTGCTCTGTGACTGGACGTTTTCAATGAGGATAAAATGCAAAGGTTTCACCTTACTCACCAATTAGGTCCCACTCCCCATTGGGCATGTAGCCTGAGACGTCAGCATCGTTCATCTGGAGGTCCAGCAGCCAGCCGTCATACGTCCAAGAGCCGAACTTCAGCTCACACCTCTGGATGTCAAAAGGGAACCATCGAACGTCCACGTTGCATGTGCTCATAAAGATTCCTGAGAAAGACACAAAAGATGACAAATGAACAGGAGGCAGTGAATTAAAGCTCCTCAATCAATTCACTAAATGACAACAGTGACCTCGGCTGTTTCCTGTACAGAAGTGACAAGGGAAAGACGTATCAGAGGACCCCTTGTGCTGTGCAGAAAGCCTGTTCTGAATAACAAGTTGCTTGTCAGAAAGAATCCTTCATTCATTTCATATCCAGCCAGCTCTAAAGATCTCTTAACTCAATCCCCTTGCGTCCACTTTTTATACAGAAATGGTGTGAGAAATGCTGCACCACAACCAAGAGTGCACACTGCAATAGGGTTTTTATTAACGTTGTGCAAGTCTACAGAGAGTTTACTGGTATGAAATTGAGTTTGGAGGCTGGAGAGGTGAAAGCAAAGACTAGATTAGGAACAACCTCCCATCAAAGAAATGTGTGTAAAAAAAACCTGGCAGCAGTATTGTCACTCACGGTTTCAAATATTCAAGCAAACAAATGCTGTTTCTGCGCTCTCCCTGCACACACAGCTGTTAGCTAAGCCTCGGCAATAGGAGGCAACATCAACAGTGACACTGAAAAATGAGATTGTGCACAGTGGCCTGATCTGATTACCACCTTTATTATGCAAAATAAACACACTCATATGCATATGCATCGGCACGCCCCGGCACAAAATCATAAAGACACACTTGGTATCCACCCATCCAAACAAAGAATCACAATGATCCTCGCAGTGGTCGCTGGCAAACTCAAACCCTTAAAGTGATTAGTGAAATAAACGAATCAAGCCTGTTTAGACGTTCATACGCACACAGAACCAAAATGCCAACGAAGCCTCGCAGCCCTCAAAGACATTCATTATGAGGATGTCGACATGCAAATCAGCCTTCAGAGAGGAATGAAAGCAGAGTTTAGAGAAGTGTAAGGTGGTTAGCAGATTGAATGCTGGTTTCAAAGCAGAGGTTGAACACAAAATGACACCAAATTAAATAGTAGTCATACCTTTTTTTTTTTCTTTATAAACTCCCTGCTCTGTCAAATCAAGTTACTGACATTAACATTCTTGCAACTGGCTGCCTTTGCTTCATATAATTACTCCCATTAAATTACACTGATTATGTAAAAGTAAATGCCTTTGCAGGCTACTGATCTGTGCACCTTCATGCATAGTATATTTCTGTAACCTGCCTCTCACAGACATCCAGTAACCTTGAAGTAACACTCACAAATAAGACACCAGGATTGTTCTGCTGCGTGGAACAATCTCTCTCCCTCCCGCAGCACAGCTCCCAAAATAAAACTCCATCATCATTCTGAAAATCGCTTCAGAATGAAGGCATTACCAGGCCCAGAGACAAGATTTCCTCCTTGCAAATGTCACCCAATCAAGATATGTGCTAAAAACCTGTTACACCTTATGCGCTGTTTACCATTAAACCCAAACACAACACCTTTACCTCTGCAGTTACAAGAGGTATTCTTCAAATTATGGTGTGCAACAGACACCTGGGATCCTACGCCTTTGAATTATTTACTGTGCGTCAAGCTCCTGTTCCATGCCTGCCACCCACAGACCTGTTGCCTTTTATTTACTGACAATAACAGCCCAAAAAGACCTCCAGAATCGCAACAGGGCTTGTGTGAGGGAGTCAAAAAAGCAGGTTTGCTGCTCTTCTGCTTCATTTTTCCATTTATTCTCTCTCTACTGATCTCTTTCTCATCATGTTTTGTGGTAAAAACCTCTCTGCTCCTCCTCCGCATTATCTTTTTATTCTTTTCCCTAATTGGCTTAGGTCCAAATTGCGGCATTAAGGAGAGTTATTTACATTCAGCAGTAGCCTATTAATAAACATGGCCGTTGAATAGAATTGATAGGGTGGCTTTCTGATCTTTTACTTTGACTTTTACTTCAGAAGGCTATTTCAACTCAATGCCTCCTTTAACACCAGGGATTGAGTCCGCTGTAATCTGGTGTATAAAGAAACAACTGAGAAAAGCCAAAGTAAAGACCTGTGTAAACCCAGGGGAGCTGTTACTTTCGCAGGCTTGCACAGATCTTGCGTTTGGGTTTAGACAGGAAACGAAGGAAGCCAACATCTCCTATTTATAGGTGTTACTCATAGCTCTGGGAACGTCTAACCAGTGAGTAACCAGGGATGCTGTTTCACACTAATAAAATATTAATGTCAAGTGTACAAACGGTAGAGACATGCAGAGATTGCAGAATGAGATGCTGCCGTTGCACCGCAGGGAGATGAGGAAGTGATAGGAAAATGAGAAAAGGATGAACAATAATGAGAGCATGAAGGAAAAAAAAAACAGGAGTTACTCACCTGGGGGCAGGTAACTCGCGTAGCCACTGGAGTTCACCAGAACATTGGTCTTAAAGGTGGAGTCAAAGTCGTCATCTGCACTGAGGAAGGACAGATGGGGAAGTGACACTACTTGTGGAAATATAATGTGTGCGTACGAGGCGTGTGTTAAAACGTTTATGCGTGTTTTACCTGTTGTAGAGCAGGATGTCTGGGGTCCAGACCTGATCTGTTGTGAAACGTAGGTTTTTCACTCCAGGATGTTCGCTCTGGTTCCACTGGAGATAATGGTCGAACCAACTCTTAAACACACAGACAGATACAGTCTGTATCCCGGTGGACTAACAGGCAAGCTGCTTTATCTCCAGTCTCCTCTGCTGTTCAGAGTATACTTCAAACAAAACATTACTTTTGTGTATTTATTTACTGTCAAAAAGGTGAATTATTTTTGAGAGACAACTTTACTTTTTTCTGAATTTTAAAGGTCTTATCATGGGATTCAGAGTGTAGGTCATCGCCTTAATTTACATGTCAAAGACTGTGTAAACTAGTTTGAATAAAAATCACCCCAACCCATAACAGCAGCACATTCATTATCGCCCCAAGCATTCAGAGTCTCCCAGGGGTCCTTACCATCCGTAGCCATATGTTAGTGGTGAGCACCTGGTTCTTCTCATCCTGCAAAACATTTAAAATATTTTTAGCACATCTATTTTCTTAAACATCAGTTTCTGTGTAAATCATGAGGGAACAGCTGAATATTATTGTGCATCCTTATTAAAGTTTACAGAGATTATTATCTTATTTTTTACCTCTAAAGCCACAAATATTTTTTAAAAAGCCTGCTGTTATCACCATTATCATTATTAATATCACAGAATGCTTAACTAGGCCCCAAATGAATATTTAAATTTTCCAAATGTTTCCAAATTAATTAATAAAACAAACTAGAGGCTGCAAATGCTTTTTGCTCTCTGAGAAAAAAAGCTTCTTTAAAGATTATTAATAACGTCATCATATATTTTAATATTAGAAATATTTTTTGTCCCACTCTTAATTCAGCCAACTGGTGAATGAGGTTGAGAACAACTGTGGCTGCGGACACCTACCACGTCCATTATCTGGATCAAACTGAGGGAGAAGACAACGGTGAGTGGGTGGGAGTCATTCCCCACCGGCCGCTCCATCCGGTTGTAGTCCTTCAGGAGGTTCTTCAACAGGTTCCTCTGGTGAGGACCCTGCAACGACACTGGAGAGGCAGAAAAATATCATATAAATCTGACAAAATGTTCACCTGCCAGCTCCACACTCCATAATAAAACCTCTGTTTTGTTAAAGTCTGTGTCACCCAGAGAGCCCTTAATGACAGAATAAGTCTGTGTCTCCTGTGAGGTGAATAAAAAGGACACCAGGCTTCAAGGAAAACCTCCAATAAAAATCTCACTAGGGAATCTTTGTGGTGGGAGTACGGTCAAGCAGGGAAGAGTAAAAAGAAAATCAGAAGATCAGCTGATCCAGTCAGAGATTTAGTCCTCAGGAACTTCCGTATCTGTAAATATATTCAGGAGAATCAGACTCAAAAGAAAGGACATAGAGGAAAGGGAGATTTAATGATGAAACTAGCAGAAATAAAAACTGATAGTTTATCACCATTAGTCACACTTACATAGACTTTTATGGTTTAAACCTTACAAATGAAATATGAAGAGGTCCAGCTCCTCAGTCAGAATAAAATATTTAACATTAATATTAGAAAATACTGAAGGAAATCACCAAACAGGAGAAAGATTCCGAGGGAGCGTGCAGAATAGTCAGTAAACAAATAGTAATCTAATTAGAAATAGCAGGAAACCCCTATTAAGAGATAATTGGCACTAATGAATGTATAATTAGGTTACTTTGAAATGCTCAGAGTAATACAAATGTAATTTTGAGTCGAGATGTTTACGGACTTTAGAAGCAAATTGAATGGACTTAGAGGGAGTGTAAGGAGACTTTAGCCTACTGTTAACCACAAACAGTGAAAACCAATTTAAATTGTAAAGGATGTCGTGTTACTGTGGCTTAGTGGTTCCATCAGAACACAGACGAGCTTCATTCAAACTCATAGATTTTCTCTCAGTGTCTAGGGTTTCTCCCGCAGATGCAATAGTGAAGCAATTAAAAAAAATGAGGTCTTGGATTTGAAAATATCACTCAGCCTGGTGTTATATAATCTCAGTAAAGTGCTGGAGAAGCAGACACAGAACATATGAGACACAGTCGAAACAATATGGAGAAATTGTTTTGCTTCTGACTTTAAAGCTCGTTCTATCTTTGTGTTAGAGAGATGAAAAAGTCCTGGATGTTTCCTCAAATCTAGTGTTTTTTAAAAACTCAGTCCGAAGCTATACAGTCTGAAACTTTTGCCTCATCTGTCCCCTTGATTTTTATTTTCCTGGACTTCTAAAGCATCTTCTTCAAAACCCAATCAAACAGAAACACATTTCACTGCTGGTACTTCTTCTGCCTGTGGGGATAAGTTCACCCACTCTCCTCTCGGCTCTGTCATCCACTGTCAAGCCTTTATATTCAGCTACGACTTCTGCTGCTCGGAGCCCCATCAGATCAGATGCAGTAACACATCCACAACAGGGCGGCAAGATAGAAGAGCCGATCTATATGTGCAGCTCAATTGATCTGTGACCTGTTTTCTGTGTGTGGGGGGGTTAAAGATCCCCTGACAGATTTGGACATAAAAAGGGGCTTGTCGAATGAGGGGAGAAAAGCAATGAGATGTTATGACTGCTCAGATTTATCTACACGCTGTCTCTGTCATCTGACTCGCTGCACAGACTAGATGTCAATCTGCCTGTTTAAAGCATCGCATCTAGAGGCATCCAACCCCCCCTCAGGTCAACTCAGCAGTGTATCCGGTAAAATAAGAACACAGTTGCGAAAAGATGTAAACAAGCAAGCAAACAGGTGAGCCAGATTCTCACTTTTCTTCTCATGGAGTCTTTTTTTTTTCTACTTTGAATTCTTATTCCAGTCTACACTTCACCGATCAAGCATCAACACTGCCGACTCCAATTTCTGAATTCCTATAAAATCACACACTTTGCGACTAAAGTGCCGCTGCTGCAATCTAATTCCTGAAAACAGAATTAAAGACAGAGAGAGGGAGAGAGAGGGGGAGAAAGGCAAGCAGGCTCACCGTGGATCAAAGCAGAGAATCCAGAGAGGAGAAGAGCCACCGAGTGCCACATCCTGGTGGTGAGGAGCAGGAGAAAAGAGGAGGCAGAAGAGGAGAAGCTCCGGGTGTTGAAGGAGGAGGAGGAGGAGGAGGAAGAGGAGGGTAGGGAGGAGAGGGAGGACCGACTCAGGAAGCTGCTGGAAATCGCCTGGTCTGCATCCAGTCGGCTTTAGAGGGAAGGAGTGTGAGCGTGTGCTGGGAGAGAAAGGGAGCTGAGAGAGGAAGAGGAGGAAGGAAAGAGGAGGAGGAGGAGATGGTGGCTGTGAGCTCTCTCTTCCTCTCTCTCTCTCTCTCTGGGAGGTAGGACTAAAATGGAGAGCACAAGAGAGAAAAATGTCAGTGATGGGGGGTGAAAGGGCTGAAGATAGAGCAGGAGGTGGAGGAAGGAGAGGTTGTAATTGGTGTGTCGCCATGAGTTGACCTTATTAAAGACAACAGAAACAGATGATGCACACGATTTTAAATGATCTGAGGGAGAACTGATTGACAAAAGGTTAAGTGTGAAAGGAAATCCATACAGTCAAAAAGTGGAAAAGTAGGCTTTCCAAAGAGGTCAGTTCAGGGGAAGAAAATAGACACTAAGAGTCAAAGGGACCACAGGAACCTGTAGTAGCTGGAAATCCCATCCTGTTATTGTTCATTTTGCCTTTTAGTGTCTGTTTTTGTGCACAAATTGAGCACAAAAACACGTTATTGATAAAATATTGTGGGGGGAAAAAATCACTTCTCTGCATTTAATGTCTCCTTCCTTTTGTGAAAAGCAAAACTGTAAAAGATGAATGACTATTTAAAGCCTTCACACTTCATTGTGTGTGTAATGGCCGGTGTGTAGCACGACATGTGTCAAAAATATATGCACAGCTGGTTACACGTATGATAACACAAGACAGCAGTTACGCTCATGCAACTGCTAGACTGCAACTGTGTGTGTCTGCAACTGTGTGCGTGAGAGAGCTGCCCCTCTACTCAACGGGGGTTGAGCTTTGAATCATGGGGGCAGATGGACTCCAGTTTAATTGAGAAAGTGCTGGGCTCTGCAGGAGGGCATCGGGAATGTGCATAGTTAAACTCTACTTCTCATTTGTCCTCACGAAATGCTGATGCAAGGGCAGAGGCAGCGAGAAACCGTAAGACAGAGAGAGGGAGATTGAGGAGGGGAGGAGGGGAAGGGGGGAGAGCAAGAGAGGAGGAAGAAAGAGTTGGACTGTATAATAGATTACCCTATTACTTCTACTGCCCTTCGGAATTACCCCTCTCCTAGGCAGCCTGTCACACATCCAGAGCGCACCCGAGCTACAGATTCATGCTCGGCTGCACACAGAGGATGGAGAGTGGCCCTCGGAGGCGAAAAGAAGGATGGCTAAGTCACCGGTTAAACCAGACAAAACTGCACCAGGCATGGAGCGAGGACACACAGTGTGCCTCAGCAATGTATCATCAGAGAAGAATCATCCTGTTGCTGCTGCTGCATCCCTGCAATATTGCTGCTTAAATGTGTGAGAAATTGACTTTGAGTTCATCTTGTGGAAGGGAAAAAAAAAAAAGCTTCTTTAGCTGTTATGCACCAAGCACCAGCGTGACACAGTGCCAAAAACAAAAATTCATTACGCTTCATAAAAAACACAGATTGGAGGCACTGAGGCGTGGGTGACATCTGCTGGTTTATTTTCCAACTGCATGCTGGCTGGAGCTCAGCAACACTGGCAAGAGTTTCTTCAGTTCTTTTGAGTGAGGTGACGGTGTTAATTAACGAGGAAGAAACCGAGCTAAATGAAACGAGAAGATGATGAGAGCCAATGCTATAAAGAGAAGGCTAATTAGGGAACAATACAGGCAGATGAATGAAAACACTGAGCAGAGTGTGGAACAGAGCCATATCAATGATGAGGATAGTTGGAGGAAGAGAAAGAGGATTATGAACATCATGTGGACAATAACGTGGTGCTAATGGAGGCCCAGATCACTCTCTGCATAATAATTTTGTTGATCCTGATTGTGGTTGTAAATGCGCAGCAGTGGTGGTCATCGCTCTGACCTGGCATGGCTACAGCTCATGCCTCTCTGTGCTAAATGCTGAATGCCGCCCCTCACAATGCAGCCATCAGCCATTAGGGCTGCTGTGCTGTGTGTTTTTAATTACTCTGCTGATTGGATTAGGCCCTCGCTACGCTGACACGTCCCCTCCACTTAATAGGGTGTTATCGACAAAGCCAGCACATACATCCACTCGCCTGTGACGTCTGATTTGTCAGAGTGGCCTTTTTTTTGTCTTGAATTGAGTCGAGTAGATGTAGTTCTCTTCTAACACACAATTATATCCTGCCCCAGCAAGCCCTGGAGCAAGTTGGACAAAAAAGTAGACTGTTATCTAATAAAATTTTATGGTGTGAAATCTTAAAAGAGTATTGCACTGATTTAGAGTTAGCACATAAATAAGATTGTCAGACAGCTGACAATGAGGCAGAACCAGATATATCGTCTGTTTTATTCCACATATTCCTCTTGTCACTTACTCACAATGCAATTAAACTTGGTCAGAAATTTGGTTGTGTTATGCTAGTAGCTGGAAATGTAACCTCAAGCCACTAGCTCTTGTCTACACTGACTATGAAGCTGCAGCCAGGAGTAACTTAGCTTAGCATAAAGGTTTTGTTCAGGTTTTGTTCAGAGGTAACACAACGTGCCTACTAACACCTTTAAAGCTCATTACGTCTTGTGTATTGTTTAATCCATACCAAACACTGCAGTGTCAAAATGACAAGTTGTGGTTTTACAGTGGGTCATATCTCAGACTATTTCTTGTGTTAATTAGTGAGCTTTACATGTGCTGGTGGGTGGGTTTTGTTACCTTTGAGAGCCAGGCTAGCTGTTTCCCCCTGTTTCAAGTCTTTATGCTCAGCTAAGCTAACCATTTATTGGTTGCAGCTTTAAATGAGGAATTAGACTTGAAGCCATTTCTGTAAATTATATTTAGTTTCCTGTTGGAAATATTCTTGGATGGATGCATAAGTTCTAATGCAGATGAACAGTTACAACAATAATTAACAATAAGTACTAACAATAACAATAACAGTTACTCTTAAAAGGTAAGTCCTGGAGGTGATGAGTCTGAATAATGTAGTTGAGAGATTACATTTGTTTATGTATAGTATTTATAGGTCAACAAATGTATTTGTAAGAGAATATTGTGAGTGTAATGTTTTATGAATACGAATATCGACATTTGTCTTCTTCTTTTCTTCTTCTTTTCTGCATTGAGTAAGGCTAAAGATATGTGATGAATAATATCTTTGAAGAAAAGAATGATTATAATGTTTTGACACATCAATGTATGGTAAGAAACTGGACACAGCCACAGAAACCACAGGGATAAAGGCAAAATAGCAGAAAACGTTTGGTAAATAAAGCGTGGCGTATTGAAGAGGAGTTGTTTTTAACTTTGATGGACTTGTGACTTAGCCTCAGTAGCCTGATTTATCTTTGCTTAATTGACACAACATGGACCAAAATTTAACAAATATTATCAGCTATATTTGTACATTATTTCTATATAGATGTTATTTTGAATTTTCATTACAATAATAGCTCTGTGACTCTTATGTAATGGTAATGCATGAGGGGCTAAAACAGACAAATATGAGAGCGGTATCAATTGTCTCATCTATCTCTATGCATAAAACAAATAAGCATATTTCCAGAAATGTCAAACTATTCCATTAACCCTAATGGTGACCTTTGACCTTTAAAACACACACAACGATTACTTACTGCTGTTTGCATCCTAATGAACCTCTTTATCTTTTGACCTGTGCAGACTGAAACGATTAATATCCTGACCAGAAGATGAACTGGCACTCGCTAAAGATTGAGAGCATGGAGCAGACTTGCCATTTACCAGCCACAGCAATTAGTGGACTCAAAATATCTCCGTTTAATTTCACTTTCTTAGCAGCCAAAGGATGATTTGCAATAGAAGAGACTAATTGAAGATGTGCTGGCTACCGGCCACAGTGGAAAGACGAATTGACATACTTAGCTACCAGCTACAGCAGTCAAGATTTACAAGCACTTGGCTGGAGGCTTGAATTAATTTGAAGCCTTGCAGATGTGCATATATCCTTTTAGCATCTTGTTATTAAAAGGACAACATAATTTAAGAACATTTGTAGTCTCTACCACCACAGCAGTCTTGCTACCTCAGCAAACTAAATAGTCATATTTTAGAATCTAGTTCTCTGCAAAGAAGTGTGATACTGTCTGTATTTACCATCCGCAAGGGTTGAGTGTTGACAGTCACGCACTGAGGCACAGACAGTTGGGAGTTCCCTGCCTGCAGAATATCAAAACAAAAATATCCAGACAGCAGCATCTGGCTAAGTCTCAGAGAAGAACAGAGTACTTTTAGCATAATTAATCTGTTTTACATCTGGAGGGACGTCTGAAGAAGTAAAACTCAGACTGTCTGATCAGACTATGTTTGTGCTTTCCCACCTGTGCACTCACCAACCTCCTTTTCCCTCTATCTATCTTTAAATACATATTGTCTTCAGATTAGATAATGCCTTCCTTTATCCTGCTACCATCCGGATGCTCTCCGCCCAGTGCTTGCTCCTTAGCTCTCCATTTGGAGAGAGCTCTATTATCTGTAGACCCATCTGTCACACGGCTTTAGATAAATAAATGATGCTGAATGTCAATGCTTAATACTCCACCCTGCTCAGTACATATTGTTCAGTTAAGGGGTGACATATTTGATATTTCATAAGCCTATAAGTATCAGATCTCTGTCTGACTTGATTAATCTGCAATACTAATCTGATGACCTGATATTGAGGAGCATTATTCCCTTTTGAAGATTAGATTTATTTAAAAAACAACTTTGTATTACTAACTTGGAATTTACCCCTGACAGTAATGACGTCCATTCATGATATTACAAATGAAAAGTGATATAATAGCCTTTCTTATCAGACTATGAGAAACACTTTGGCCTGATTTTGGACACCAGGGCAACCATGTATAAGCAGATGTCCCCACAGGGAGGTGGAAATCTGCCAATCCCGGGTAAAACTCTGACAGATGACTCCTTCTTTGCTTTTGCTCCATGCAACATCTGCAACTTAGAGTCTTTGCTGTCATTAAGCCCCTCCAGCTTTAAGGAAGATGCGCTGATGGTGGACAATCGTAAAGCAGGAAACACTGCCAAACAAGGGAATAAATGCCTGAACACATAATGGATATCCATGCGTATTCACCTCATATGTCGTATAGAGGAGTTCATAAGCTCTGCTTGAATCTATGGGAGGGGCTCTGTGATGCTTCTGCACTAGAGTTCATTGGAGTTGCAGCTTGATTTTTTTTTTCACAGTTTAACTCATTTTGAATGTCTTCTCAATGAAAGTGGTGCATCTGAGTCCAGTTTGTAGCAGGATTTTATTTGGAGGATCTTTTTGTGATTCAGGCAGATGTGACCTTCAGAACCGTAAGAAGACTGAATACTAAAAGACTTGGGGAAATTACCAGAGAAAGCAGTTGTCTAGTAGACTGGAAACCCTGAATGAAAAGGTAAGAATAAAAAAGAGCTGTGTGGAAATCACCCCACAGAGAAAAGATTTCCATCAAGTGAAGTTTGTGACTACATCTATAACGTATTAAAACAAACATTTGTGATTGTAGAATTATTGTAAGAGATTATTTTGTTGCTCTTTACATGTTTCCATCATTTTAAAATAATATAATTTACAGATAAATATAAAAGGGGTGCAGTTAAAAATAAAAATGAGCATGAGCAAACTTAACGGATGTAGAAAGTTTAGGAAATCCTCTCAATGACGAAGCTACTAATGCAATCTTATTGAGTCTGAGTGTTACCTAAAGGGAGAAAATTGTTTGGAGGCAGCTCTGTGTACTTGATGAACATCCATGTTAAATTGATGCTTTATAACATAGCAGTGTGCATTTTCTCCTTTAGTCATTTTCATATACAGGGTTGAACAAATTTGATTTGGAATTACAGGTGTGGTTATATAAGTTATACATAATATGAACTAAAAGTCAATTTCACTTTACTCAATCAAGGTAAACCAGTTAGTTGATGGATCATAAAAAATCAAAAAAGTGCAACTTAGATAAAGTCAGAAACGGCTTAGCAGCAAATAACAGCAGTATAGAATATGTAATAATGTAATAACTAATGTATAATAATGTAACTTTTTTTTTAATTAAAATATATCAGTAATGTATTTAAATGTTTTGGCACAGGCTTGTTTGTAAGTAAAAGTAAAAATAAAAAGATTATGATTAGGATTACAGAACATCTGTGAACATCTGTGGGCACCTCATAGGTTACTCACAGGTTAGAGACCCCTGTACTAAAGGGTGAAACGCCACAGTGCTAACTGCCTTGTCTAATATTGTCCTCTGTCCCTCTCTTGCCTTCTCTGTTCTTAAAAAGAAACCCTCTCACCATGGAGCACTCCCCCTCTATGAACTTGTCAGTGGCGAGTGGAGATGAGGTGGAGGACCAGCGCCCCCTCCTCCCGCCCAGGATGGTCCCTCCTCTTCAGGCCTGCCCTCCACATTGTGGGATACACCAAAACCTCCAAACGTCGGCCGATCAGACCGTGTGGCTGGACAGAACCCAGGCCATGGCCACCACGCCTTTATACAACGGCCACCTTTATGTCACGCCTTCACCTCACTCCCACAGGAGGGGAGACAAAGGCAAAGAGAAGAAATGTGAGAAAAGGTCAGGGGGGAGTAGACAAAATCAAGCACGAAAGGAGCGGAATCAGCAGTGCAAAGCCAGAAATGCAGGACCTGACAGACTCCAGGAGAGAGTCACCTCTTTTACTGACATCCCTGTGTCTCCCTGCGGGTCACCCTTTAAGAGTCCCCGCAGGTCACACTTAGAGGTCAAGGATACCGAGGGCAGAGGGCGCCACAAGTCAGGCAACGTTTCTTTGGAGATGCACGACCGCCTGAGTCTCCCAGAGATCATCATCACCAGCAGAGATGACGACCTCCAGCCACACAATGAGATGTCCCACCAGGAGGCCAAAGGCCTGCTGCCAGGAGCCGAGTGTCCCAGTTCGAACCCAAGTCCTGGTCCCGACCTCAGCCCAAAACACAAGGTGGATGCCAAGAACGACACGTACCAGAAGACCCACAACATCGGCTGGCGGCTGGTCCACAGGAGGGCTCTGTTTTTGAAGAGGCAGCAGCTGAACGACTGCGCCCTGGCGGTGGGATTGTTCGGGGTGGTGCTGATGGTGATGGAGACAGAGCTCTCCTGGAGCATCTACAGCAAGGTCAGAAAACGAGGAGAAAAAACAGACCCTGACTAACCCCTTGAGAAATGTGAACGTAATTATTATGGCTATTTTTTTCACCCACAAAAACAATCTTTCATGTTCAGTCAGTATGAGAATTTCCTGCAGGAAAATGTACAATAGTCCCATAAGATCATGTCCATTATTCAAGCAAATGGATTATCTAAATGTATGTAAGATTATAAGGTTACGGAAGATCACTGATGCCATATTATAGACTGAGCTTTGTAATGTCAAACAGCCATCAGCTGACAATGATGTCATGTTTGTGTGTGTTTATCTCTGTCTCTGTCTCCCTCAGAGCTCCATCTACTCGCTTGCACTGAAGTCCATCATCAGTTTCTCTACGATCATTGCGCTGGGCCTCATCATAGCGTACCACTGCTGTGAGGTGCAGGTAACTATCTGGTTCATAATTACCCCAACAGCTTTTTGTTTTGGGTTCTCCTTCAGGGGCATTCTCTCAAATTTAAAGGTTTCTCTGAAAATCTGTGGTAAAAAAAAGCAAGGTATTATTATCATGTCACATCCCTGTTTGCAGTGAAGGAAACTTTTTGTTCATGAAAAGAACAGAAGTTTTCCAAAACAGCGATTTTTCCTGCTCAGGTTTATTCATTCAAAGGATTTTTTTAGAGGAGAAAGTGTATTTTACAAGGAGAAAGCAATAAAAGAATGAAAAGTCTGAAAAATGATTGAGTCCTTTTAAAGAATACTCCACCGAGCATTGCAGTTGTAATATTGTTGGACTCATGATGGGCAGTTGAAAAAGAAACCTTTCAAAATCAATATAGCAGAACTTTTTTATTCCACATGTTCTTCTTCCTTGTCAAAACATAGCACCAACATTACCCACAATGCAACTTGAAGACTGACAGTTTCATCAATTCAACTGTTGTGTGCTAGTAGCAGCTAGTGTAGCCTCGAGTTAGCCCCAAGGCCACAGTTGTTTTCCTTCTTTCTTTCCAAACTTACTTACTCTTCACTTAAAGGTCCAGTGTGGAATATGATATGAATAGGTATGTTTTCATTCATATATAATCACCTGAAAATAGAAATCATTGTGTTTTTGTTACCTTACAATGAGACATTTTAATCTACAGACGTAGTGGGTCGCCTTCCACGGAGTCCGCCATGTTTAACCGTCATGTTTCTACAGTAGCCCAGAACGGACAAACCGAGCACAAAAGGCTTAATACAACTTTTTTCCACACATGCAGCCACTAGTTAAAAGAATATGATGTGGAGTTAATGCATTTAATCATCTTTTATCCCCAGGTTAGGTGTTAGGGTTAGGGTTACGCTACAATGCACTCTTCCCACCTCTCTTGCAGCTCTACGTTCACGACATCGGTGCAGAAGATTGGCGGATTGCCATGACAACCGACCGAGTGGCTCTGGTAGCCCTTGAGCTGGCAACGGTGGCCATTCACCCCTATCCGGTGGGTCTCCTCGCCTACTTCCAGCAGACCTTCCAGCACACCACGACCCGCCTGTCTCTGTCAGAGACAGACCTGGAGATCATCCTGGCTCTGCCCATGTTCCTCAGGCTCTACCTGCTGGGCCGGGCCATGATGCTGCACAGCCGCCTCTTCACTGACACTGCGTCTCGCAGCATCGGAGCCCTCAATAAGGTGGGAGGGAGGTCACCCCTGGGCTCCCTTCAGAATCTGGCTTTGGACTTGGCTTGGATAGTACTGTGATCAAGATTATGACACTTTTATATTAAATTAAAGAGTGAAATTTGAGGCTTTGCAACCTGCAACCTGGGATATTAAAGTCTATATTTTGGGCTGGGCTTCCTCTATTAAAAATTTGATGCACATCTGTTTATGTCTTATGTCTAGGTGGGCCGAGAGGTCTGTAGAGGTGTGAATCTTGAGGTGTGACTATCACAGTTTCACTCCCATGAATCCCAGTGGTTTCACATGCTGATTATGTCCCTCGCTAGCTCTCCTTTGCTTTTCTGCTTTGTTCTCCACAGCTGATAATATCCACCCGGCTAATCCCTTCCCTTATAAATGCTATTTAAGAGTGAATTAAATGACCTTTGTCTCCCCTCTGCAATGCCAAACCTACTATCCATGTATCAAGCCAGATTGAGAACAAGTTTTCTTATCCTTCATTTCCTCTACATTATATAATCTGACAGGTGCTGTCCTAAATAGTCTATGGCTATGTAAGTATGCCCTTACTGTTAAAATTATGACGTAAATGCATTTCGTTTGTGATCTCCAGATACACTTCAACACCCGGTTTGTGGGGAAAACTCTTATGACCACCTATCCAGGGACTGTGCTGATGATTTTCAGCGTCTCGCTGTGGGTTGTGGCAGCGTGGGGCTTACATGTTTGTGAGAGGTATGTGATAGTATATCAGCCTACTTCTGACTCTAAAGTAGTGTGCTCAAGGCCTCTATATTTATTTTCATCCAAATATTGGAAGGTAAACAGTATTACTTTAATTAGAGCCGGAGCAAAATGTTTGACTTTAGAGGGAAAAGTTCACTGATTATCAATATGGAGGCAGATATGGTGAATGTTTAAGCTGGAATGAAAATAGACCTGATATGATTATGCAAAGGTACTCAGAATGCTGCTTTCTTAAATAAATAACTTTATTAAAGAATATTTGAATGAAAAAAAAGGATAAATACAAACTACAAGCCTTTTTACAATATATAACGGAAAAAAACTGTTTTCATATCTGCAATAGGCTAATATCAGCCGACAAAATTGATCAATCGATATATCGGTCGGGCTCTAACTTTAATTGCTCTACTCTAACTTTAAAGGCTCAAAGAGCTTTGGATCAGCCATCAGACTCCACACCACCACAGCACCCAGTACCTCCACTGAATTCAACCAATGACGCACTATTATATTTAAATTGTACATGTGCAGTTTGGTTTTTTCGTTATACACTGCTTAAGATATTTTCCACACCATTTTATTGCATATTGCATATAGTGTATATATTTTTCATTATAGTCTTATATTTTCTATTATATTTTATAATATTCTTATTTTGTTATTCTTTTTTGTACTTTTACACTTCTGTACTTTTTGCACTACATTCCCCTGGGCTGTGTCTGATTTGAATTTCTCCTACGGGGGATCAATAAAGGAACATCTTATCTTATCTTACTGCAGCAAGAAAACAAATTTCCCTCTCCTGTACTGTATCTGTACAAGCTGACATGTTCAAATCTCACATAATCTTGACTTGATAATGTGAGGTTTTTGGATCTTTGTTGGTGTTTTGTTGTACATTGTAAACTAGGAGTGGGTAATAAGGAAATAAATAATCTCATCAGTACTGTGAAAGTAAGATAAGTTCAGTAAAGCAGCATTTAAGACCAGAAAAAGACTAAATATAAGCTAAATAAAATATTATGATCAATCAATGTCATATAACACCTTTTTTTTGTTCCTACAGGCACCATAACTACAGGGACCTGAGTAGCAACTACATGGAGGCCTTGTGGATGGTCTCTGTCACTTTCTTGTCCATTGGTTATGGAGACGTGGTGCCTCACACCTACTGCGGTCGCAGCATCTGCCTCCTCACTGGGATAATGGTGAGCCAGAGGGTTAACGGCTCCTCCAGGGTCAGATTAGTTCAGATTCTGACTGTAAAAATGTCTCATTTTTACCCTAACAGGGAGCGGGCTGCACTGTCCTGGTGGTGGCAGTGGTTGCCAGGAAGCTGGAGCTGACCAGAGCAGAGAAACATGTTCACAACTTCATGATGGACTCCCACATCTCCAAGATGGTAAATATCAATATCTCCCTCAGTGTGGCTTTTATTTTACATATTAATGTTAACTGAATAGGCACAAAAGTAGGAGAGATTCTGCACAGACTAAAACCAGAACATTTTTCATTACAAAATATCCCAGGAGCACATTTCTTTTTACTTGTTTTAGGCAATAACTTTCAGGTTTTGTGCATAAATATAAAATAACTCTCCCGGGTGCTTTTCTACATACTTTCTCCAGTTAAAAATTGCTGCAGCAAATGTGCTGAGAGAGACTTGGCTAATCTACAAACACACTAAGCTGTCAAGAGAAAGAGACCACAGCAGAGTCCGCATGCACCAGAGGAAGCTGCTTCTGGCCATCCACCAGTAAGACACTTAACCCTCATATAAGGCTGGTTCTGCACACGTCACAGTGCAAGAGAGACCAGCCTTCTCACTTTATTTGATATATATGTTTATGCTATGATAATAATGATCTGCTTGTCAATCAATGCCTATCACCATCATAACAACATCACTTTTCACACCAGATGGCGTTAGTTTTACATACCTTGAATAGAATGAGATACCCAAAAAAAAGATAAAGAATACACCACCAAAATAATAAAAAAAAGAAGATAAGAATAACAAGAACAAAAGATAAAAGGAAATAAAAATAGATAAAAAAAGACAAGAATGAGAAAAAAAAGAAATAAGAAATAAGAACAAAAGGGAAAGCTCATTACTTAATAAATAATTTATTGGATGGTACAAGCATGAAAATATTAATTTATACCACACTTAGACACAACACTTGTACTTTCTCTTTCTAAGTGATATTTGATAGATTTATTTATTTATTAGATCTGTCCAGTGGTGGACTCATGCTGCCTGAGGGGCAGGAGCACCAGTGTGCATACAGTTGTGATATATTTATGGTGAAACAGCTTAGTCAGGGTCAGGATCACTTTACCACATTTTGTGCACTTGGTTTAACTTTGCATGCAATGCAATACGGAAATGATGAGAAATTGGTTTGTGTTTGTCAAAAATGAAAAATAAAACATCCTGGTAACTCTCTGTAATCCACAAACCTCCCTGTGAACAGTTTTTACTGGAACTACTTCCGCCCAAAGAAAGTTTCTATAAAAGCTTTACTGTGTTGTTTATCAGTAATGTGGCTGAAGTGACCCTTTAAATGTCACTTCTCGTCACTTTCTTATGTTGTTAAGGTAGTAATGTCATTCTAACCTCCTTTTCAAACCTGAAATTAAATAAATGTGTCCCCAGGCTACGGCGAGTGAAGATGGAGAAGAGGATACTTGCAGACCAAGGGAACACACTTGTAGACCTCTGCAAGGTGAGAGAGGCAAGTGAACGCATCATTTCCATATCACATCCTGTCAAAGCCTCAACAAAGTAGCTTCTCATATACCCTGATGCCCATTTTCTCTTTTCTCCTCTACGTGGACACACACGCACCACCACGGACATCAACCCCCACAGATGCAGAGCCTGGTGTACGACGTGTTGTCGGAGGTGCAGGGCTGCAGGAGGGAGCTGGACACACACATCCACAGCCTGGAGAAGAATGTGGAGGAGTTGAGGGAGGGCTTCAGGAGCTTGATGCCACTCCTGTCCAGCACCCTGTCCACGCAGAACTCGTCCATCCGCCACCTGCTCAGGGAGAGGGAGGAGAAGACGGAGACTGCAAGTACAAGCGTAGACAGGTAGAGGAGGATGAAGAAATACAGGTTTCTCAGGCGCTCCTGGAGGAGTTATCTGCCTATTGTGCAGCTAAAATGATCATGTTGGGACATTTTTCTTACAGAGGTGGACACATTGGTGTTAATGACTAGGTTAAGGTTGTACAGAAGTAGTAAAATTGTATTTAAAACAGATGTTAGAACCATTTTCTGTAGCAGAAATACCATAAAACCAAAATGTAGTAATGACTCCTCTTTTCACTTCTTATTCAGCTTGTTGCAAACTTTCCTGGAGCAATAAGAGGACACTGAGGCAGCAAATTAACAGCCTGCCACCAAACTGAACATTTATCAATACTAGAACAGCAATAATTAGTGAGTTGAGAGAGAATAATTGGCTACTGTTTTGGCCAGTGAAATTGTTTTTCCATGCAAAAATGCTCAACAGTTTAATATTTTAGGGCTTTGGGCCAGAAAAAGTCATTTGTGCTTTAGAAAATTGTGGCTTTTTTTCCTCAACCATTATATGTTTTATAGACCAACTGATTAATGGAGAACATAATCAGATTAATTGATCGTGAAAATAATTTAGTTACACAGACCTAATCAATATATGAACTCAACCAAAAAAATAAACCCAGACCGCTGTTATCACTCCCATTTCAGAGTAACTAACTTAACACAGCACTTTTTTCTGATTATGATTGCAGTTTGGTATTATAACATAAATCTGTAATGTTACAGGCTTGTAATAAAAATTATAAGACTGCCTTTGTATTTATTGTCTGAGACAGTTAGAATAACCACACACTAACCATTCCTTTAGCCAAAACAATATTTTATTAAGAGAGACAGGGTTGGAGGGTGGAGTTACAGCAACAACTGATCTGTCGACATGAACAGCAGAAATCCATCTGCTGCCCAGTCCGTCTTCAGGTCTCGTCTCAGATCAGACCGCTGGTTCTGCCGCCGTCTCGGAAGGCAGAAGACGCTGATATCAACCGGTCCATCCCCTCCTCTCCCCTTCAGCTCTGGGGGAGAACAGCTAGTGCTGCTTCCTCCTGAATGAGCACCCTGCCAGAGGAGACAATGACAGTCAGACAGATGCTGACACAAGAGAAGCCTTACAGTACAGAAATACTGCGAGCGATGCAGCGCTGCTATTGTCCTTCACAGCGCTGATACAAAGAGTCATCGGTTTACCATCGTGTGACTGACTAGGTCAACATCTCTTCCCACTACAGACGTACTTTACATTTATTGAGGAAGGACAGAAGTGACACTAATGCAACATTAAGCTCGAAAGTAGAAGCTTTGACAGCAAAACTGACTAAAATCAAATTATGGTGATTAAACAAGCCAGGCAACTCTGCCATCAGCAGTGTCGGAGATGTACTACACATTAAGACAAAAGGGTAGATATTTGTTCTCAGCCTTCGAAAGGGGGGAGCCAGTGGTCTAGTTCAACCCTTCTGCAAACTGAGGGTCTATCTGGCACTGGAATGAGATTGGAAAACCACGATAGAGGAAGTCCAGTCACTTGGCAGTGCGGCCAACAACTTCAAAATATGTCACACACAAACAATTCATATACAAATTCTCTTTTTCAGGGTCTGAAGCACCAGACAAATGCCAATAATTAGGTGAACTTCAGGTTAAGTTAGATAAATGGCTAAATTAAGATAATACTTTGACAGTTAACCAAGTTATATTCTCAGTTCTCAATCTTTATACCGGACATTAAGTTCTGTTTATGAGCACAGAGCAGTTAAAAAAGGTTTTAAACAGGGTCTCGACTGGCACAAAGTATCTGGATGTTAATGTGCTTCATTTTCATCCTGCTCGTTTTATATCACAGATAAAAACAGTATAATGAAATCACATATCGGTTGACGTTTAATGCAAGTGAGAAGCTGCTGCCGAGTAATGAAGTTTTCACACAGCAACCAGTTCAATACGTAAAATGAAAGTAAAATGTGCCATTCATTTGGATCCTATGCAGACAAGGTAAAATCTGTTTTGAGCTCATTCTACAAAACTGCACTCAACCACTTCCTGAAAGCTTTCAGTGAAACGGGACTGAGGGCATTTAAAGGATGGTCCTCAAACATCAATTTAGTAAAGTGCACAAAATTTGATCTGGAAAAACAAAATCTGTGAACTGATTTGTGACGGCCAATTTAAGGCATCAAAACAGTTTTGATATTTTGGGTTCTGTTACTGTTGAAAGACCCTCACTCATAGTAAATGAATCAATAACTGAATATAGGGCGTGTAGCATAAAACAGCACCAACTGAGTGAGATACTTTGTGATTTTGGGCTCCATGAATGAACCCAACTCTTTATAAGTAAAGATACAGATAAACTGGTCATGTATACATGCTGCAGATCAATACTGACCCTCTGTGAGACGTGCTTTGCCGCCAGTGGGCTGACACAGGACTGTTGAACAGCCAACACACAGCACGACCGTCTGAGCGTGGCTGAACACTGTCGTGATCTTGTAGCATCCTGTAAGAGACGGACGAGACACCAGTTAAAACAAACCCCCCCGACACAGACCACACTGGGGAGAGGTGGATCAATATGTAGGAAACACTGTACCTGGACATTTCACATCCATAAAGTAAGAGTTGGGACTCTGAACAAGACGCTTCTTCTTGTGCCTCCTCTTTTCCTCCTCAGGGGATGGGTGCAACAAGTCTTTTGCGAGCTGTATTTGTGTTTTAAAAAAGGGGAAACGAACAAAAGGTTAGTGAACCAAAACAGTAAAAACTTCAATCTCTGCCACCTATCAGTTAAAACTACAGTTACTTCGCATTTATTGAGCGAGCAAAGTAGTGACACTAACGCAACATCAAGCTCAAAAGCAGCTTTGACTGCAAAACTGACAACCTATGGCGATTAAACAAGCCAGGCAACTCTGCCATCAGCAGTGTCGGAGATGTACTACACAGACAAAAAGGTAGATATTTGTTCTCAGCCTTCGAAAAGGATTGACCCAGTGGTCTAGTTCAACCCTTCTGCAAACTGAGGGTCTATCTGGCACTGGAATGAGATTGGAAAACCATGATAGAGGAAGTCCAGTCACTTGGCAGTGCGGCCAACAACTTCAAAAACAATTCATGCATAAATGATCTTTTTCAGGGTCTGAAGCACCAGACAAATGCCAACTTTACCGTTTTTTACAAAATATTATCTTTCTATATTGTATAATAATGAATAGTTTTGTTAGTATTGTTTTGTTCTGCTGAACCACTGCTCCGTTTCTAACACTGAGGCTTCTCGGCTGGCCTACATTTCTCGGATTAGATAACGCAGGATCCACATTACGACCAATCGCGGGTGATTCTTCAAATATTTAAGCGAAGTAACCTCGTCTTCAACCTAACAACACAACCCCAGGAGGAAACTCGGCCCTTAATGTTAAGTTTCACTCCGTTACGAGCTCCTTCAGACCCGCCGCTGAACTGGCTCCATGTTTGCGGTGTGTGCGCAGCCATCTTGTGTCACAATGCGCTCGCAGTGTGCTCTGAATGTGCGCCACTATTTGTGTAAAACTGGGACCAAAACTCAACGAAAGCGCCTGAAAACCGACACTGGTCGAATCGCTAACTCCTCATGAAAACACCGAGCCGTGTGTTGGCTCTTCGGCACTCGATTAAATGGTAGAAATGTCATTTTACAAAGGCCTGTGGATACTCACTGGCATGTTGGCGAGGAAATAGCCGCTGCCGAAAAGGAGGCATTACCGGAAGCGAGGGGTTCATATCGGTTGTTCCTTTGAGCAGCGGGCCGGACGTGACGAATCTGACACGCTGTGGCGGCCATGTTGGTGAGGTCTAATCTCCACCCTGCTTCCTCCAGCGGGAAAACGTTTATATGTTTTATTCTTAAATGTCCCAATATGCACAACTACAAAGCGTATTGCACTCACTTGAAACTGTATTTTTTGGTTTGTTTTTCTGAGTATTTTTTTGTGTTTTTCTGACAAATTTTTTTTTTCAGTTTTTATGAGTAATTTATTTTTTGGTTTGTTTTTCTGAGTAATTATTTGTGTTTTTCTGAGTAATTTTTTGTCTGTTTTTCGGAGTAATTTATTTTTCAGTTTTTCGGAGTAATTTATTTTTTTGTCTGTTTTTCAGAGTAATTTATTTTTTTGTCTGTT